CAGATTCCCTTGTTACCTTTTTTTTTCTTTAAAGCGTTCAGTTTCATTTTATTGTTCTTTTGGTTGACACTATTATAGTTATTGCGTATATTATTTTCCTAGTTCTTCTTTCTTCACCTCCTGCTATTCTTTTTATTTCTTGTCATCCATTTTATTTTATTTTTAATAGTATTTTTTCCCCAGTTACATGTCAAGACAATTTTTAGCATTCATTTTTACAAGATTTTAAGTTTCATATTTTTCTCCCTCCATCCCTCCTTTCTGAAAATGGTAATACATGTGCTATTATGTAAAACATATTTTCATATTAGTCACAGTTATGAAAGAAGAAACAGATCAAAAGGAAAAAAAACTTAAAAAAGAATAAAGTAAGTGAAAAAATATGTTTTAATGTGCATTCAGAGTCCATCAGTTCTTTATCTGGATATGTATAGCATTTTCCTTTGTGAGTCCTTTATACTTGTCTTAGATCATTGTCTTACTGAGAAGAGCTGAGTCATTCATAATTGATCATCACACAATGTTGCTGATACTATGTATAATGTTTTCCTGGTTCTGCTCATTTTACTTTGTGTCAGTTTGTACAAGTCTTTCCAGGTTTTTCTGCAATCTGCCTGTTCATCATTTCTTACTGCACAATAGTATTCCATTGCATTCTTATATCACAGCTTGTTCAGCCATTCCCCAATTGATGGGCATCCCCTCAATTTCCAATATTTTGCCACCACAAAAAGGGCTGCTATATTTTTGTACATGTAGGTCCCTTTCCCTTTTTTGTGATCTCTTTGGGATACAGACCTAGTAGTGGTATTCTGGATCAAAGTATGTGCACAGTTTGGTTGCCTTTGGGCATAATTCCAAATTGCTCTCTAGAATGGTTGGATCAGTTCACAACTCCACCAACAGTGCATCTGGGTCCCAAGCATAATAGATTCTGCTCCAGCCCTTTACCTTTATTCTGTGTGTGTCTCTCTGCTTCAAGTATGTTTATTGTAAACAACATATTGTAGGATTCTGGCTTTTGATCCACTCTACTATCTGCTTCTATTTTATGGGAGAGTTCATCCCATTCACATTCATAGTTATGATTACTGTGTATTTCCCTCCATCCTATTTTTTTCCTCCTCTTTGTCCTCTCTCTCCTTTCACCATTTCCCTCCTCAGTGGTATTTTGCTTCTATCTCCTACCTCCCCTGATCTGCCCTCCCTTCTGTCAGTCTCCCCACTCCTGCCTTTACTTAATTTCTGACCCTTCTACTTCCCTGTCAGGTAAGATAGATTTCTATATTGAACTTCTTGTATATATTATTCTCTCTTTGAGCCAATACCAATGAGAGTAAGTTTCAAGTTATGCCCATTGCCTATCCTCTCATCTTCCCCTCCACTGTAATAGGTCTTTTGCATCTCTTCACGTGAAATAATTTACCCCATTCTACCTCTCCTTTCCTTCTACACCTAGTGTACTCCTCTTTCTCATCCTTTAATTTTTTTTTATGTCATTCCCTCAAATTCACCTTATACCGGTACCCTCTGAGTGTGTGTATTCCTTCTAGATGTACTGTTAATGATACAAATTTAAAGAATTACATGTGGGGATGTAAACAGTTTTAGCTCTATTGAATCCCTTATGTTTCCTTTTCCTTTTTTTCCCTGTTTGTGTTTCTTGGGTCTTGATATTGGAGATCAATTTTTTGGTTTAAGTCTAGTCTTCTCCTTATGAAAGCTTGAAATCCTCCTATTTCATTGAGTTGAATTGAATTCATTGTTTTTTCCCTTGAAGTATTATGCTTAATTTTGCTGGGTAAGTAATTCTTGGTTGTAGTCCTAGCTCCTTCGCCTTTCAGAACATCACATTCCATGACCTCCAGTCTTTTAATGTTGCAGCTGCAAAGTCCTGCGTAATCCTGATTATGGCTCCCTAATATTTGAATTGTTCCTTTCTGGCCACTTGCAGTATTTTTTCCTTGACCTGATAGTTCTGAAATTTGGCTATAATGTTCTTTGGAGTTTTTATTTTGTGATCTCTGAGGTGATTGGTGGATTCTTTCAATGCCAATTTTGCCCTCTGGTTCCAGGATATCAGGGCAGTTTTCCTTGATAATTTCTTGGAAGATGCTATCCAGGTCCTCCTTTTGAATCTGGCTTTTAGGTAGTCTAATGGTTCTGACATTGTCTCTCCTGGATCTCCTGGATCCTGGATTTTTCAGATCAGTTATTTTTCCCATGAGGTATTTTACATTTTCTTCTATTTTTTTCATTCTCGTGAATTTGATTGATTCTTGACTTTTTTTTTTGTTTGTTTTTGGTGGGGCAATCGGGGTTAAGTGACTTACCCAGGGACACACAGTATTTGATTGATTCTTTGATGTCTGATAGAGTCACTGTTTCCACTTGCCCAATTTAAGGAGCTGTTTTCTTCAATTAGTTTTTGTATTTTCTTTTCTATTTGGCCAATTGTACTTTTTAAGGAGTTGTTTTCTTCAGTGGATTTTTGTATCACCTTTTCCATTTGGCCAATTCTACTTTTTAAGTAGTAGTTTTCTTTTTCCAAGCTGTTTATTCTTTTTTTATAATTCTTTTGCATCATTCTCATTTATTTCTCCAATTTTTCTTCTAGCTCTCTTATGTGATTTTTAAGCTCCTTTTTGAGCTCTTCCATGAGTTCTCTCTGGACTTGAGACCACTTCCCATTTTTCTTTGGAGGTTTGCCCACAGGTGTTTTGACATTGTTGTCCTCTTCTGAGTTTGTTTTTTGATCTTCCCTGTCATCATAATAACTTTCTATGATCAGATTGTTTTTTTTTTTTGGTTGTTGTTGCTTTTTGCTCATTTTTGGGGGCATTTTTCCTTTCTTTTAAATTTGAGTTCTGCTCCCAGAGTGGAAGGGGCATTGTCTCAGGCTTCTTATGCCAGGGGCCACAGGTCGTGGTTGTTTACCTGGTGCTGCTCCGATGTTACCCTGAGGCCCACAGGGGATCCTGTGTTTGGTGCTGAGCTGAGGGGGTCATGTGGGGTGCAGCTGGTGTGTAGGGGTCTGGCAGCTTTCCTAGTGCTTAGCTGGGGTCCTAGTGCTGGTGTCTGTGATATGTTGAGGCAGGTGGGGTTTTCCCCCAGGAATACACTGAAACACACAGTGGTCTGGCCACTGGTGGTTGCCAGCCCTGGTAGGGTTGATGTCTGCCTGTTTGTCCCGGACTATACTGAAGCACATGGTGGTTCTTGGAGCTGGAGTCTGCCATTCCCCTGGCTATGCTGAGGCATGTGGGGGGTCCTGGTGTTCCCATTTGCCTGCTCCACCACTATGGAGCTCAAGAACTACTGCTGGTTTGCTGAGGTGGGGCTTACTGCTGGCTTGCTGGGATGCTTTCTGGCCTAGACTGTGCTCCCCTTTCACCCAAGTGAGATAGGCCTTTCCTACTGATCTTCCAAGTTGCTTGGGCTCAACAATTGTTTCACTTTGTCTTTTTGCTGATTCTGCTGTTCCAGGCTTTGTTTTGGGGCACTATTTTATGGTTTTTTGGAGGTGAATATGGGAGAGTTATGGCAATTTACTGCTTACTCTTTACCATCTTGGCTCCCAGGGAAAGTATTGTTCCTTTTATTTTTAAAATTTTTTTTAGTGATTTGTTTTCACATCTCCTTCATATTCCAACGTATTTGTCTCCTCCTTCCCAAGGAATCATCCCCTATAACAGAGAATAAAAAAAAAAATCCAGCTTAGTGGAAGCATCTAACACATTGAAAAAGTCTGACATTATAGGCAGTTTACCACAACCTTACTCCTCCACCTCTGCAAAGATGAGGAGGTGTGAGATGCCTTTTCATATCTATTCTTTGTGGCCAACTTTAGTCATATATAATTTTATAGCATTCAGTTTTGATTGTTTTCAGTTTTTGATTGATACTTTTCCTTCTTACATTATTATTATCATTGTGTATGTTGTTTTCCTGGTTCTGTTTATTTAATTTTATAGCAGTGCATATCTTCTACCTTTTGTAGGATCAGATTATCACTAAATCAAGCCAGTAATCAAGAGAAATTATAGGGAGGTAAACATCAATTAAATATAAGGATATTTCTAACAATCAGAGCTATTAAAAAACAAGAATGGCTGCTCAGGATATGGTGATGCCTGGAATATTTTATCAGGTTAATCTCCTAGTTGGAAGTAAAAATGGGATTCCTACTTCAGATAGTTTGGACTAGGTGACCTCTGAGGGAGGCCCTTTCCCACTCTGAGAGCCTATGATTTCATTGCTGCTGCTAATATCCCCATGAACCTTAACTTTTAAAATGCTCAGGTGGTAGAGCAACACCAAACCAAAATGTTTTGTCTTTTGGTTTATTCTTCTTGAAGACTTGTCTAGAGATCAACGAATGCCAGAGTTTTGTGAGAAGTGAGTAGTGATTACTCCTTTAAGCTTGCCTGATATTACCAGAAGCTAATATAAATGCATGAATGAAGAAAAAATTATTGAGTTTTCTGTTCCCCGGGTGGTGGCATATGGTACAGGGGCTGTTGAGCCTGACAGTTCTCTTGGGCTTGGGAGTTCTGAGTTGCAGTGGGCTAAGCTGGTTGGGTATCCGCATACACTCTGGCACCAGTATAGTGAGCTCCCATGAATAGGAGGCTTCCATGTTGCATTAGGAGGAGCTAACCAGCCCAGGCACAGGTCAAAACTTCCATGCTGATTAAAAAAAGTGGAAGCAGAGCCATGAGTAGTGCCTGTACCTCTAGCAGGGTGAGAGAAGGATACTATGTCTTTAAAGAAAAAGTAAAGTGGGGCAGCTAGGTTGCACAGTGGATAGAGCTCTGGCCTTGGAGTCAGGACAACCTGAGTTCAAATCCAGTCTCAAACATGTGACACTTACTAGCTCTGTGACCCTGGGCAAGTCACTTAACCCCGATTGCCTCACCAAAAAGCAAAAAAAAAGAAACAAAACAAAACAGTTCTAAGATGCCAATATTTTCTTCCCTTATGTTTTTCCCTTGATTCAGCGCAAGTATCTAGATCATCTGATGCGGGATTTCAAAGGGAAGGAAGAGATGAGGAAAGGCCAGTATCGACTGCGTCTCCAACCTCCTATGAGGATTGTTCCACTGTAAGAAATCTTAAGTCCTCCTCTATAGGTTTAGAAAATAGCCTAACTCAGAAAAGCTTTTGTGCTGAGGGATCATTATGTAGTGGAAAGAACAATGAACCCAGTCAGATATCCCACCTCCATTGTTTCCTCAATGTGATATGTTGAACAAGTTATAACTTCACTGAATTTTATTTTCATTCTCATCCAAATGAGCATAATGCCATTTTCATTACCCACCTTACAAGGTATACGAAGCTCTTTCTTCATTATCCCCACTTGACAGATGAAGAAACTGAGGCATCTCTACAGTGATAATTTTGGCATAGGATAGGCCAGAAGAAGGTCCATAATTGAGAGCTGGTGTAGTTATCACAACTTATTTTTAGCAGCTAGAAGCTATGGGTTGAGGTAGAGGAGTAGAGGCATATTTAAATAGAACAAAATGACCTGGCAAATCTTTTTTCCCAATAGAAATTCAAGGTAATATAAGGAGAGAGAGAGCTCTCACAATTAGCTGGATCAGGGAAAGTGGCTCCTAGGTTGATCCTTGAGGGAAGAAAAGGATGAGAGGGGAGGACAGGGACAGAGCCAGACACAGGGATATATTATCATAATACACGAAGGCACGAAATAGAGAGTCAGCTTCAGGGAGAAAACTGACATGAAAGTCAAGGAAGAAGAGAGTATAAACATAATCACTAGCTTTTATATAGTACTCTAAAGTTTGCAAAGTGCTTTACAATTAAAACCCATGAGCTGTTACTACCTTAGTCCTTCAGTGGTGTGAGAAGATAATAAGACCAAGGAAATAAAAGTTCAATTTTCCGAGCGTGTCGATTTATTAAGTAATGCACAGCAGTTGCCCACAAACTGGGATCAGACCTACTCAACTTAGGCCTGGACCCCAGATACAGGAGAAGACAGACTTTTATACATTAAAAACAATAATCAAATAAGGCCCATTAATTACAAAGAAACAATTAACCAGGATACAATATTAGGTAATCTCATTTCTAATTGGAGGAAAAATTAGCGACTTTCCAGGTTGGAAGTGGGAGAGTGAATGGCTGTTATTCCCTGAAATCAGAAAAAACAGGTGTCCCACTTCCCCCAAGTGTCTGTGAACAATCAGAGGAACATGGAAACAATAACTGATAGATCAGTATTGGGTCAGTTTTCAAATAAGACATATGTATTGCTTGAGTTGTACAATTGTGAGAAAACTCCTTGCATCAGTCTTTGGATTTTGACTGGGTTTCTGGTCAGCATAACCTAGGTCCTTAGGTAAGAGTCTTTAATCAGCAGTTAGGGATGGTCCAGCTTCCCAGCCATGCAGGGCTAAGTTCAAACAATGCACTAAGGTTTTCTGTGTGGTTGATTTTTGTGAATCTAAGTGCAGGACACGTTCCCATTGTGTCTCATTCTGTTAGATGTGGTCCATCTTTCTAGAGCCTGATTCTGTCATCAGCTAGGTAAGAGCAGTAATGTGACTAGAACTTGGGTCTCCCAACTCCTACTCCTGTGTTCTTATACTTCAACAGGGAGGGATTTGAGGGGATTCGGATAGCAAGTGATCAATTATGGAAATTGAGTGAACCATCCTGACTCCATTTTTTGATTTTGGAGCTAACTCAGGTCCCTTTCTATTCAATTATGGGTCTAGTCCATAGCCTAGAGCAGTGGTTCTCAAAATGAGGTCCACAGACCCCTGACAGTCCTTGAGACTCTTTCTGGGGGTCCTTGAGGTAAAATCTTTTTTTTTCTTTAATGAAAATAGCATTTGTTAAGCATTTACTATGTGTGAAACACTGTAGTAAGCACTGGGTATACAAATTGAAAGGTAAGAGTCTCTATTCTTAAGGAATTTGCAGGGAAACAGCATATATGGAAACTTGCAGTTATAAGTTAGATGAAAAGTTCTCATGGTCCTTAGTGTACAGTGTCAAAAAAGATAGTAACCTCTTAAAATTAGAAAAAAGTTTTTTATTGATTTCTTTGTTTTTTATGTTTTCATTGTTTTACCTAGTCATAATTATATTTAAATGAATACTTTAAAATTTATCAGTTTTAATTTCTAGTATTGTAAATATAGATAGCTATAACTCCCAAAAATAGTTCTTTGGGGCCTTCAATTTTTAAGAGTGTATAAAAGGGACCTCAATAATTTTTAAGAGTGTAAAGAGGTGGGGCGCAGCCAAGATGGTGGAGTAAAAGCAGTGACTTGCTTGAGCTCTCCCCCAGACCCCTCCAAATACCTATAAAAAATGGCTCTAAACAAATTCTAGAGCAGTAGGACCCACAAAAAGACAGAGTGAAATAAATTTCCAGCGCAGGATGACCTGGATGGTTGATGGGAAAGGTCTGTTGTGACGGGCTAGGAGAGGAGCACAGTTCAACCTGGGCCGCACAGGCAAAGACCAGGCCTCAGTGAACCTGGAGCAGGCCTCAGGGGACTGAATCACTAGCAGCTGTAGTGGTTTCCAGACTCCTCAACCCACAAATGTCAAAGATGACTTACAAGGTCAGTAGGAAAGGTCTGTTGGACCTTAGTGAGAGAGGAGCATGGTCCCAGCCCCAGTCCTAGGACAGCCCTAGGAAACGTGACTGCTTCCAGAACTCTTGGCCCACAGATGATGGAGGGATCAAGCGGCTGATCAGAGCAGGATTGCAGGGATCTCTTTGCTGGTGCTGAGGCAGGATTCTCTTGCTTTGCCCCTGCTTGGATCTGGGTCACAGTCCTGGGGCGAGGATGAGCACTGGTGTAGTGGTGGAGAGAGAATCCTCCTCACAGTTCAAAGGCAGAAAAGAGTGTTTGTGGTCACTCATAGAACAGAGCATAGGCCAGGAAAGGAGTAAACACCTCGCCTTTGATCATACCACCTTGGAAGAACTGAAAATTTACAGTCCCTAGAAGTATCTCTGAAAACAGTTGCATAAAACCCCTGCTTGGGACAGTGCACCCTCCACACTGGAAGCAGAGCCCTACCTGAACAAAGAGTTTAAAAGTCAAGTAATTGACTGGGAATAAGAGCAATCAGCACAAAAAAACTTAGACTATAGAATCTTACTTTGGTGACAAAGAAGATCAAACATACAACCAGAAGATAACTAAATCAAAGCTCCTGCATCCAAAGCCTCCAAGAAAAATAAGAATTGGTCCCAGGCCATGGAAGAGCTCAAAAAGGATTTTGAAAAGCAAGTAAGAGAAGTAGAGGAAAAATTGGGAAGAGAAATGAGAGAGATGCCAGAAAATCATGAAAAACAAGTCAGCAACTTGCTAAAGGAGACCCAAAAAAATACTGAAGAAAATAACACCTTAAAAAATGGACTAACCCAAATGACAAAAGAGGTCCAAAAAGCCAATGAGGAGAAGAACCCTTAAAAAGCAGAATTGGCCAAATGGAAAAGGAGGTCCAAAAGCTCAGTGAGGAAAATAATTCCTTAAAAATTAAAATGGAGCAAATGGAAGCTAATGACTCTATGAGAAATCGAGACATTGTAAAACAAAACCAAAAGAATGAAAAAATAGAAGACAGTGTGAAATATCTCATTGGAAAAATAACTGACCTGGAAAATAGATCCAGGAGAGATAACTTAAAAATTATTGGATTTCCTGAAAGCCATGATCAAAAAAAGAGCCTAGACATTATCTTTTAAGAAATTATTAGGGAAAACTGCCCTGATGTTCTTGAAATAAAATAGAGGGTGAAATAGAAATTGAAAGAAACCACTGATCACCTCCTGAAAGAAATCCCAAAAGGAAAACTCCCAGGAATATTATAGCCAAATTCCAAAGTTCCCAGGTCAAGGAGAAAATATTTCAAGCAGCCAGAAAGAAACAATTCAAGTATTGTGGAAACACAATCAGGATAACACATGGTTTAGCAGCATCTACATTAAGGGATCAGAGGGCTTGGAATATGATATTCCAGAGGTCAAAAGAGCTAGGATTAAAACCAAGAATCACCTACCTGGCAAAACCGAGTGTGATCAATGAGGGGAAAAAATTGATATTCAATGATGTAGAGGAATTTAATGCATTCTTGAGAAACCAGAGCTAAATAGAAAATTTGACTTTCAAATACAAGACTCAAGAAAAGCGTGAAAAGGTAAACAGGAAAGAGAAATCATAAGGGACTTATTAAAGTTGAACTGTTTACATTCAAAAAAAGATGATATTGAAAAGATATTTGCAACTCAAGAGACATTTCTCATTATTGGGGTAGTAGGAAGATGTGTGTGTGTATACATATATATATATACATATATAATTAAGAGATGAGAGAGGAATGTACTGGGAGAAGGAGAAAGGGAGAGGTAGATTGGGGTGAATTATCTCACATAAAACAGACAAGAAAAAGCTTTTACAGTGGAGGGGAAGTGGGGGGAGGTGAGAGGGAATGAGTGAATCTTACTCTCATTGGATTTGGCTTAAGGAGAGAATAACATACACACTCAATTGGGTATGGAAATCTATCTTACCTTACAGGAAAATAGGGGGGAAGGAGATGAGGGGGGGACATGATAGAAGGGAGGGCAGATTGGGGGAGAGGGTAAGCAGAAGCAAACACTTTTGAGGAGGGTAGGGTCAAAGGAGAGACTACAATAAATGGGGGGCAGGATAGGATGAAGTTATAATTATTTATATAGTTATATAGTTTATATGGTTAGTTTTTTACAACATGACTATTATGAAAGTGTTTTGCATGACTACACATGTATAACCTATATTGAGTTGCCTTATCAATGAGGGTGAGTGGGGAAGGAGGAAGGGAGAGAATTTGAAACCCAAAATTTTAAAAACAAATGTTAAAAATTGTTTTTACATGCAACTGGGAAATAAGATATAGGCAATGGGGTATAAAAATCTATCCTGCCTTATAGGAAAATAGAAGGGGAAGAGGGCAAGAGAAGGTGGGGGTGGTGATAGAAGGGAGAGCAGATTGGGGGAAGGGGTATTCAGAATGCATGTTGTCTTGGGGTGGAGGGGAGGGGAGAGATGGGGAGAAAATTTGGAACTCAAAATCTTGTGGAAGTGAATGTTGAAAACTAAAAATAAATAAATTAATTTAAAAAAAGAATGTGAAAGAAGTTCTGAGACCAAGAAGTTTGAAAATGGTGGGCCTAGAGAATAGAAGAAGGCTTTGTTGGGGGTGGGTATGATTAAAGTCCTCCAAATACCTGAAGGGCTGTTAAAGTGAGAGATGGATTTGACTGTCTTCTTGGGGGAATAACAAGGACTAGTCTGTGATCCTAATGTACCAATTCACTCTAATAAGTTCTCTAGTGAGTTCATTCTTCAGAGTGAGGCCTTCAAGGAAGGCCTTGTTAGGTCAAGGGTGGCTACTGATGGAATGCACCTCCTTGTCAGATATTGAGTTCCTTGTCAGTAGAGATCTTTAAGCAGAAGATAGATGACTAACTACTGTCTTTGGATGGTTTAGAGGGAATTCATTCTGAACCTAGGGGTTGGATGAGACAATCTTTGAGTTTCTTCCAGCTTGAGGATTCCCTTATTTACTTTCTCCTCATTCATCTAAATCTGTAGTTTAGCTTTCCTAAGCAGGTTGTAAGGGAATCAGAATTGTTCCTAAATTCCTCCTCCTCTACTTTTATCTTTCTCTAGTGATGGGATTGCCATGATTCCTATACGTTCCCTCACCTCTGCCCTTTTTCCCGTTCCTAATATCTTTGCAACAAGCATGGTAATTGGAATATTATTGCAGAGCTCATTTTGTGTTCATTACACTATTTGTTTAGGGCCTCATTTCCAATGGAAAGGGATTTATAAAATTGTTCATTCCTTTGTTCCCACAACCCATTGTGTTCCAAAGCACTTGCATGACAAACTTGCTGCTTTCTGTAGATTCCTACTAAGCCAAGACCATAGATGGGTTCTGTTTTTCCCTCCCCAGTGTGTATAATCTGTAGACTATAAACCTTAATTAAATAAAACTAAGGGAGGGATGGGGAAGGAGGGAAGAGGAGGCTCTGAAGGACCTTCACAAAACCAGTTGAATTTCTTTTTTTTTCTCTCACAAGAATCCTCTTCTTGTTCTTTTTTTCCCCCTCTGTTCCTCCTCTGCAACCTTGTGATGTGATTAAATCTTTCTTTTGTTTCATTCTATCTTCTTTCTTTTTTTTTTAAAATTTATTTCCTCATCCAGGAATCACGGACATGAGATTGTGAAGTTGCAATTCTTAGCCAATCAGTTTCAGGGATCAGCTGGTCGCTTCCTTACTGTCACCAAAGACGGGATCCTTCAGTTCTGGGACGAATCCTTCAAGCTGCTCCGGACAGTCCATGTAATTCAATTCAGTACAGTTCAACAAGCTTTTATTAAATGTCTACAATGAGCAAGTCACTGTGCTTGGGACGTAGGAACAAAACCGAAGCAGTCCCTTCTCACAAGGAGTTTGCATCCTGCTTGGGGGTATGGGTAGGAAGAGCCAACATGTACAGAAATAGGCATAAAACAATATAATTTAAGGAGGGAGAGAGCACTTACTACTGTGAGGATCAGGGAAGGTGGCTCCTGAGCTGATTCTTGAGGGAAGAGAAGGACAGAGAGGGGAGGACAGGAACAGAATGCTTTCCAGACATAGGGGATGTCTTGTCACAATACATGAAGCTAGGAAATGGAGAATCAACTTCAGATAAGTCAAGAAAGAAGATGGTATAATAATAATGTTGTGTTGTTCAGTCCTTTCAGTTGTGTCTGACTCTTCCTGACTCCATTTGGGGTTTTCTTATCAAAGATACTGGAGCAGTTTGCCATTTCCTTCTCCAGCTCATTTTTATGGATGAGGAAACTGAAGCAAATAGGGTAAAGGATTTGCCCGGGGTCACAAAGCTAATAAGTGTCTGAAGTTGGATTTGAAATCAGGAAAATGAGTCTTCTTAACTTCAGGCCCAGCACTCTATCCATTGTGCCACCTAGCTGCCCATAATGACAGTAGTCAGCATTTATATAGCACTTTAAGGTTTGCAAAGTGCTTTACAAATATTATCTCATTTGATCATCACAACAACCCTGGGGAGTAGATACTATTATAATCCCCATTTTACAGGTGAGGAAACTAAGACAGATAGAAATTAATCTGCTCAGTATCTGAGATCATATTTGAACTCAGATCATCCTGATTCCAGGTCCAGCACACTATCCAACACTCAGCCACCTAGAAGGTTGGGGTGGTGAAGAATGTCAAAGACTGCATAGAGGTCAGGGAGGGAAGGTTGGGAAAAGATAACATCAGCAATCTTGGGGAGAGTTGTTTCAGCTGAGGGGTGGGTTCAGAAGTCAGATTTTAAGGTTGTAAGCAGTGGTTCTTCCTCAGAGCCAAAAGTTAAGGAAGAAGAGGGTAGGTAAAGATGTGGAAACATTTTGAGGACTGCGGCAGTGGATACAGGGAGCTCACAGCAGATGGTCTTGATTTTCTCTGCAAAACTGGAGGTAAAGATATCTTCTGGGAGCTTAAGAAAAGAAGGTTTTAGGCTACTGAGAGGAGAGGGATAGAGAGGAAGATTCATGTTTGTGGCCATTAGAGAACCAGGTAGTTCAAGAAATGCTAATTAATTAATTAAAGATTAAGATTTATTATTATTATTTATTTAACTTATTATCAGGCAGCTGGGGGGCACAGTGGATACAGTGCTGGCCTCAAGTCAGGAACACCTGAGTTCAAATCTGTCCTCAGACACTTAATTTCTGAGACCCCAAGACAAGTAACTTACCTCTCTGTTTGCCTTAGTTTCCTCAGCTATAAAATGGGGATAATAACCCTGTGAGTGCCTACTCACAGGGTTGTTGTGAAGATCAAATGAGATAATATTTATAAAATGCCTAGCACCCCCTGGCAGGGGTGGGGAACCTGCAGCCTCGAGGTCACGTGTAGCCTTCTAGGTCCTTGGATGTGGCCTTTTGACTGAGTCCAAGTTTTACAGAACAAATCCTTTTATTAAGGGGATTTCTTCTGTGAAGTTTAGATTCAGTCAAAGGGCTGCACTTGAGGACCTAGGGGGTCACATGTGCCCTCGAGGCTGCAGGTTCCCCACCCCTGGCCCCTAATAGACTATATATAAATGCTTATTCCTTTTCCTTCCCTTTCGTATTAAGTGACTCATAAAGCCCTGTATTCAGCATTTGGTGATACAAAGGCAAAAACAAGACAATTCCTGCCTTTGAGGAAGGGTTCATATGAAAGACATAGATTGAGAGTTGAGTTGTCTTGGAGGCAGAATCTGCAAGATTTGGCAATTGATTAGATGGGAAGTAGGTGAGAGAAGTGAGACTCAGGGAGAATTCCAAGGTTATGAACTTGAATGCCTTTTAGGATCATAGAATCATATAAATTTAAGAACTGACAGGGACCTGGGGCTAACAAGTTCAGCTTCCTCTTTTTATAGATGAGGAAACTGAGGTCTACTTAAACAACTTGCTCAAGGTTTTGACATTAGTAGGCAGGATTTGAACCCAGGCTTTCCGACTCCAAAGCCAGTGTTTTCCTCCTTGCACTATTCTGCTCCTTGATAGTGGTGCCCTCTAAAGAAATTGTTGTTTGTCCTTTGCAGTGGAAGAGGACTGATTACATCATGGGGTGATGTCTTGCATTGCTTGTGAATTGGATTTAAGTGAGGCAGAATTTCTCAAAGTCATCAGTCTCACTTTGAAGGAAGATTAGAGGAGGGGAAATTTTGGGTGGAGAAGATAACTCCTATTTGGGCATAGAATCATGAATGAATGAATCATATTCATAGTTTTGTGATTCATTCATAGTCATAATAATAGAATCTGACTGTTTAAAATAATACAATCTCCATAGTCATAGTTTCTGTCCTGGAGGAGCTGAAGAGCTAATACAAAGATGACACAGATCAGTATGTTCAACACCCAACTTTCTAGTTCTTTTTTCCTGAATTTTAGCCAGTGGCAAGAGAGGCAAACATTTAGGGATTTAGAGATATTTGCCAGTGGCAAACATGTAGGAATATGGGAAGAAAATCAATGATTCTCTAGAGATGGAAGATTTATTTTAAATGTGTTGTAAACACAGTTACTTTATAGGCCTTGTATAATTGAGAAGAATTTTACAATGACTTCTGTTAAGTATTTCTGGGCATATCCCTTCAGGACCGGGAGGGAACCAATACCATCATCCCATATTTAGGGAGGAAACTGAGGTCTGTAGGAGCCAGTCTAAATTTTTGTGATGTGTCAAGACAGAATTGGAATTAGCATGGGCAGTCCACAAACTTTGAGTATGCTGAGGGAGCTTATCTTCTGTTTCCTTCTTTCTGTGGAGGCTTCTGGGAAGAAGGAACTCTAGGTCAGGGCTCCCCTCCTTTATTGCCTTTCCTGGAGAGGATGGTAGGACATGAGTACGTACTGTTCCAAGGCCAGTCCTTGGAATTAATTCTTCCTGGTGGTATTTTTTGGCCTTTTCAAAAGTAAGAAACATTGTTTTTAGTTAACCAACAAGCATTTATCAGGCACTCACTGTGTACCCAGCATTGTATGAGATACTGAAGAGGATACAAAAGAAATAAAAAAATATGATCCCTGCCCTCAGGATGCTTTTCACCTGGTTAAAGAGAGGGCAGGCACAAACAGATGACATAGTTTGCCCCCTGCTTGTCTCTTGCCACTCATCTCCCTTAACCACCTTTTATCCTCACCCCTTCACTTAGTATAACACTGCCATGTTAATATTCCTCAAAAACTGCTTTTGTTATGAAGATCTCCTGTTCCAGGGCTTATATTGGCTCTCTATTACTCATTAGATAAAAAAAAAAAAAGTAACTGTGTTAACAGCACATCCCCATAAAGCATTTTAGGCCACGCTCTACTTTCCCAATCTTATTTCTTATCTCCCAGACTGGGTCCCCTCCACTACCCTCAAGTGGGTCTCCACATTGTACCTCATTTAGACATTGCTCATTATCATCCTGGTGCCTTTGCTCATGCTATTTCGTATCCTTGGAATGGCCTGTTGCCATCCCTTTGTGTATACACATCCTACCTTCAGGGTCCACTTTAAGACTCATTTGCATGAAGTCTTCCTTTGAAAAAAAAATTTTTTTATTCTAAATTGTAACACCAAATAAAATGAACTTTTCCATATATAAATGAAAGTTGATAATGAGGATTATATATGACTGTGAAAATCTCTATTAGATATAGCTTGTTTTTCCTTTTAAGTATATAGTAAATTTAATGTTACTTTCAAAGCTGTCTTGCTCAATTTTGTTTTGTTCAGAACTTTCTTCACTTCTGTGCATTAAAAAACACTTCAGTAACCCTCTTTTATTTCTGCTTCTTCTTATGGATAATACTATTGCTAACTCTTCTTTCCCACTGCAAAAAAAGAAAAAACATGAAACCTTTGTAATAGACTCGCAGAACCAAAACGAATGTGTGGGTTTACACATTGGCTAGGTCTGAAAAGCGTGCTTTTTTTTTCATTTTTCACCTTGAAACTATCACTTCTCAGTCAGGAGGTAAGTGGCATACTACGTTATTGATGTTTTGGAGGCAATTTCATTGATGAAATTTCTTAAGTCTTTCAGTAATTTTTCCTTACAATTTTGAATGAATGAAAAATCATTTATTAAGCTCACTTTATTTCACATTCCACCAACCATCTTCTTACCATTTGTTTTGTAGGCATAAATAGCTTTCCCCATCCCCATTTTGGGGAACCATAATTAAATCAATATTGCCATTGCTACTGGAAAGGGACTATCAGTCAACTCTACTATGATTCCACTCTCTATCCCTAAGACTCCCAAACCAAAATACCCCTTCTGAGCCATCATTCCCTTATCTATAGTCTCTGTATTAGAATATAAATTCCTTAACAGCCGGGTTACTTTACTTTTGTATTTGTGTTCTCGCCCCTTGGGGAGTGGGGGCATATATTAAGTACTTAATAAATGTTTTTGTATTTATTAATTATTGAATTGTAATGGGGACCTTGGTTATTCTTCTGGGTACCTCTCCTTCATGAGGGCTCACCTTGATTAGCTCCGTTCTCTGCTTCTCCCTAATTTGTTCAAGAGCTTGTAGGGGAGATGATGTGCAAGGTATGAAGGGGAATGAGACAAGTTGGGAAGATATCAGTTCATTGATTTACTGGATATCACATAACAAATACAACTGGCACATGAGTCTAGGTCTTCTAATCATGCTGCCTCCCAACATTTAAATGCATTAATGAAGTTCTGTTTAAGGCAAAACCTAGGCAAATCCTTTGTTATGCAAATAATTGCTCCTTAATTGGTTGTGCATTTGTATTTTGGTATTTTCAGTCTTGGCAAGCTAGAAAGAAGAGAATCTGTATCGTGATGAGTTGGAGACCTCACAGGGCAGTAGAAAGAACACTAGATGACAGTCAGGAGACTTTGGGTCTAGTCTTGCCCCTAGCCAATGACTTCCTGTGTGACCTTGGGCAGGTGACTTCCCAACTCGCTGGATTTCACTTTCTTCTTTAAAAGGAGGTAGTTGGATTAGGTGGTCTCTGTGGCCTTTTCCATGTCTAAGTTGTGATTTTATGATTTGATTTTTTAAAATGGTACAATGGATAGAGAGCTGGACTGGAAGTTAGAAGGACCTTGGTGCAAATCCTGAATCTCTCCTAATCTCTAAAATGGGGATAATAGGGGTGGGCAGCCAGGTGACACAGTGGATAAAGCACTGGCCCTGGATTCAGGAGGACCTGAGTTCAAATCAGGCCTCAGACACATAACACTTACTAGCTGTGTGATCCTGGGCAAGTCACTTAACCCCATTGCCTAGCAACATAAATTAAAATAAAATAAAATAAAATAAAATAAAATGGGGATAATAACATTACTTACCTCACAGGGTTGTTATGAGGATCAAATGAGATAACATATGTAAGGCACTTTGCAAACCTGAAGGGAGTTATAGAAAGTATTATTATTTTTTAAAAAGGCTACCGTGGATAGAACTGGTCTCCAAAGTCAGGAAGACCTGGGTTCAAGTGCTGCCTGTGACGCTTATTGGCTATATAAGCCTGGGCAAATTGCTTAACCTTTCAGTGCCTCAGACAACTTACCTGATCTACACATCTGTGAATTCACAGGTTCATTAACTAACCAAAAAATTTTATGGAGAACGCAGAGTGTACTGTCTGGAGTTCAATCACCACCTCTGACACTTACTAGTTCTATGATCCTGAGCAAGTAACTTAAATTCTTGGTGTTCCAGGCAACTCACTAACATTTATCTACTGAGGTATAGGCAGAGTGTCATTGGCCTAGTAGAGCACTAGGCCTTGAGGACAGTCAGTCACTTAATTTCTCTTGGTCTCAGTTTTTTTATATGGAGAATAGGGATGACAGTAGCATCTACCTTTCAGGATTGTTGTGATGATCAAATGTGATAACATAGGTAAAGATTCTTCTGCATGATGATTGTATATGTAATAAGGTTTATAAATGCTAGCTATTTTATTATTATTATCGGTTGGTATTGGTAGAAGAGAGTACCCTCATCCTGGTTAAATCACAGAGCCCTTTGACCACTATTGTGAATGTAAAATTACACATTCGTGATCCTATTACTTGCCTAGATTATAAATTCCTAAATGTCCCCTGGCTCGTGAGCTGGTACTGGCCATTGGCAAACTTGTACTGAACTATAAGACCATTCCTGTAAAATGCTCTTATTTCTTAAAGCCTGTAAATTTAGAAAACAAACTCATTTCCCTTTACCCCGTGTCCTATTCCTTCCATCCCTGACTCTTTTGTTTTGTACTCTTCATTCTCTGTCCCTAAGTGAGAGGGAGGCAGAGAAGGTGGATATTTTACAAAACCAACAGTATGATTTGTTTTGGGAAACACTGATAGGTAAAGGACCAAACATGTGTTTGGTAAGAGTCTACTTCCAGTGGCAAAACTTACTTCATAGGAATGTTCTTTGAAAGTTATAAAATGTGCTCCTTGAGTGTTCTCCTTGGACTTTATCCTAGGGGGTTTAGTTGAAATACCATAAGAACCTTATTACACATTGCCTTGCAGTCAAGATCCCAAGGTCAACGTTATAATGAAGCCCTTGTTATTGGTTGGTAATAGGAGGAGTGTGATTAAAATTAAGCCGGCCTTGCTGGGTGACCAAAGGAGACAGAACAATGCGGTGGAAAGCACTGGGTTTGGAGTCAGAGGAACTGAGTTTTTATTTTTAAAAAAATTTCTATTGATGAGTTTTGTTTTTTCATTACAAACATTTACAAATTGTTCCCCGCTGTGTGAGAAGTTTCTTATAACAAAATGAAACAAAACTAGCAAAAAGTTTCCTCATCTGAAAGTACACGTAGCATCCCACACTGGTAGGCAGCTCCACTTCGTCCATGCTCCACCAGTGCCTCCCATCTATTTTTTAAAGTGCTTTTTAACATTCTTTTTTCTTAAAATTTTGAGTTCTCTTCCTTCCTCCTGCCCTTTCCCCAAACTACTGAGAAGGCAAGTAATATATCAATTATGCCTGAGAAATTAAATGAAACCTATTTATGTATTATAAAAAAAGCAAGGATAATAAAGAAAGTGAAAAAGTATACTTTATTTATTTTTTGGCTTTTTTTAGTGAGGCAACCAGGGTTAAGTGACTTGCCCAAGGTCACACAGCTAGTACGTGTCAAGTGTTTGGTCTGAGGCCGAATTTGAACTCAGATCCTCCTGACTTCAGGGTCGGTGCTCTATCCACTGTGCCACCTAGCTGCCCCCGAAAAAGTATACTTTAATTTGCACTCAGGGTTCATCTGTTCTCTCTCTGGAGGTAGATAGCATTTTTTCATTACAAATTCTTTGGCATTGTCTTGTATCATTGTATTGATCAGAGCAGCCAAGTCTTTCATAGCTGATCATCATTACAATATTGCTGTTACTGTGTACAGCTCACTTCACTTTGTATCAGTTCATGTAGGTCTTGCCATGTTTTTCTGAAACTATCTCCCTTGTCATTTCTTATAGCACAATACTATTGCATCACAATCATATGCCACATTTTGTTCCCAATCATTTCCCAATTGATGAGCATTCCCTCAATTTCCAATTCTTTGCCACCACAAAAAGAGCTGCTATAAATATTTTTTTACATATAGGTCCTTTTCCTTTTTCTTTCATTTCTTTGGGGTACAGACCTAGTAGTGGTAAAGTTTTTTTTTTTAAAATTAACAGAAATCTATTTGTTTCCTCTTACCTTTATCCCCACCTCACTAAAAAAAAAAGAGAGAGAGAGAGAAAAGAGAAACAAATTCCTTGTAACAAATAGACATAGTCAAGCAAAACATTCCCTCATAACTGCTTACAAAAATATTTATGGCTCATTCTGTACTCTAAAATCTGTCATTTTTTTTTTGTCAGGAGGTAGATAGTATGTTTCATCACTGATCTTTTTAAACCCTGGATGGTCATTGTATTGATCATAGTTCTTACAGCTTTCAAAATTTGCTTCTTTAAGAGTGTTGTCCTTACTGTATAAATTGTTTTTCTGACTTTACTAATTTCATTCTCCATCAATTTATAAAAATCTTCAAAATTGTTCATTTTTATAATATCAATATTACAGTTATAAATTGTTCTTCTGGTTCTGCTCATTTCACTTGATATCAATTCATACAAGGCTTTCCATGTCTCTTTGAAATTATCTGTTTTCTCATTTCTTGTAGCACAGTAATATCCCATCACATTCATACACCAAAACCTTCAACCATTCCTCAATCCCAGGTTTTTATGTCAGTTCTATCACTCCCATCCTAAGTGACCTTGGACAAGTCACTTTAATTATTTGGGCACCAGTTTCCTCATCTATAAGTAAGATGGACTAGATGACCCCTCAGGTCCCTTCCAGCTCTCCATTTATGATTCTATGACCCAATAACCAGGGTTGGATCTTGTTCCCACCTTTACCCCTTCCCTTCTTTGGGCTCCAGTTTCCTCATCTGTAGAATGAGGAGGTTGGATTATGATTGTTTTTAACGGGCATGTTGCCCATTGCTCATCAATCTTTCTTTTTCTTAGCTGGACCAGACACATCGCCGCCACACTCAGCAGATGTGGGTCAACGACATGATATGTCTGGATAACATCAACCTGATGGTGATTGCATCCACAGACCAGGATTTAGGTAAGAGCAGGCATGGGGAGGTGATTGAAGCAGACTGAATTCCCTCTTCAGAGGCTCGAGAAGGCCTCCCTTTGTGTTGGAAGGTAAGATATCTATTATTAAACATCTTTTGAGACTCAGCCAGAATAGATAGCATTGTACTGGGGGATTAGTAATACAGATATAATCCCATTAAAATGAATAGCAAGAGACCTCCATCACTCTTTATACAACTATTAAGTTGGGGTCCTAGTGGGGAGTTACAGTGGAAAAAAAAGCACACTAGTCATCAGAAGGATCTGGGTTCTAGTTAAGGTTCCACTGCTAACCATATGGCCTGGAGGGAAGAGTTGGGAACCTAGCTTCAGGAGTTACTGGAGGCAAATTTCAGTTTAATTTAGGAAGATGTTCCTAAAAATTAGAACCATTCAAAAATAGAATAGCTGCACCATTTAGTGATAAGCTCCCAATCACTAGAGGTGTTTAAATCGAGACTATTTGTTGGTGACATTGTCCTTGAGGTTAATTGGGAGAGCAGGGGTTGTAACAGGGGCAATGGTTATGAATGGAAAGAACCCTGGACTTGTCAAAAAACCTGAATTCAAGCCCTAGTTCAGATGCTTATTAACTCTGTGGTATTTGAAAGTCACTTAAAAAGACTCTGAATTTCAGTCTTTTTAGCTATTCTTATTTAGCTACAGGTCATGATAATAATTCTACTATTTACCTCACAGGGTAACACAGTTAAGTGTTTTGCATAAATCAGGAAAGCATTATAGTGATGAACCTGATATAGTAGAAAGTTCCCTAAATTTGGAGTTGGAGGACCTGGGATTCATCCTGGCTTTGCCACTTCCTAGCTGTGGACCTGAATGAGTCTCAGGGCTTCAGTTTTCCCATCTTTAAAGTGAGGTGGTAGAATTACAGGATTTTTAAGGTTTTTTCCAACTCTAAATCTAGACTGTGTTTTTGAATGCTAAATGACGCCAAAGGTCTCCTTTGGCTCTAAGATTTTGTGATTCCAGGTAAAGAAAATACTAGAGGAGTTTAGAACTGAGGTTGGTGGCCAGTTTTCAGTTTTGTGCCCTGACTTCCGTGTTACAGCTTGAGAGCAATAGACAATAAGTGGGTTTGGGTTTGCTCACCAGCATTTCTCCTTGATTCTTCCCCAGAATTCTTTGACATTTCTGGAAACAAATGCCAAAGGACTTTTATCTTTATTGACCTGGACAGTTGTGCCTTAGTCATGGATTACTGGTGAGTTTGGCCAAAGGCCCATCCTGGGTATTATTGAAGGGGACTAACTGGTTCCTCAATAGCTAGGTGGTACAGTGGATAGACTTCTGGGTCTGGAGTGAGAAAGACTCATCTTCATGAGTTCAAATCTGGCCTCAGACACTTCCTAGTGTGACCCTGGGCAAGTCACTTAACACTTTGGCTCCATTTCCTCATCTGTAAAATGAGTTAGAGAAAGAAATGGCAAACCACTCTAGTATCTTTGCCAAGAAAACCCCAAATGGGGTCATGAAGAGTTAGGCATGACTAAAAATGACTCAACAACAACAAAACTTGTTCCTGGCCTTGCATATCTCCTCCAGTGGCCCATTGAAATGGCTGTATTTCTTCATGCTTTGGTTAAGGCATCAGGATGTATGGCAACACAGTCTAGGACTCTATTGGTTACTTGGCTTCCTCCTGCTTCTGCAGTCGTGGGTTCCTGCTCAGGCATGTAGTGGAGGAAGTGCTTAGAGTTAGTGGTGCTGAAGACTTGTTCTGGATTGTCCCAAGTATACTAGATTAAATCCCTTATGGCTGCAGTCTCTACTTTCTTTCTCAGGGCCCCTATATCCACCTTGCTACTTAGGCATATTACTACTTGGGATTTTTTTATAAGAGAATAGTAAATGTAAAATCAATTCCTGTAACAAGGGCAGATAAGGAAGAGTGCAAAAATGTTATTTACTCAATTCCTGACTTCTAAGTCTCTGATAGCTTGGCCCAATGTTTCATTGTTAACTATGGTTCAAGACTTTGGGCCTTTGATATAAAGGAAGACTATTGCCTCTTGAGTTAGAGGAATTGGTTTTAAACCCCATCTGCTGTTCAAAGTCCTGCCAAAGGTAGCTTTTTTTCTAAAGGAGAAGAGTCCTTCTTTGGCATCTTCCTTCTATGCTTGTCCAGCATCACCATGGCTTTGGGAATCCCTCCTGAAAGGATAAAAATCAGTGTGTGTGAAACCCAGAGTAGAAGGTAGAGACTGATACCTAACAGATACCAAAATAGAGTACATTTGACATCAAAGAATTATAGATTTAGAGTTGGAAGGGACTATAGAAGTTATTGAACTCTAATCCCTCATTTTTACATATGAGGAAACTGAGGCCCAGAGAAGTTAAATGACTTGCCCAAGGCTGTACAAGCAGTAAATGGCTGGGATTCCAACTCTTATCCCCTGTCTCCAAGTTGTTCTCTTTCTGAGTGAGTGTTGAAAGAGAAATAATTTCCTTTGTGATTTTGGGCAGGTTGCTCCCTCCCTGTCTATCTCCACATTGAGAAGATGGGACCAACCAGGGGATGTTTAAGTTCCTTTCCAAAGAAGTTCATAAATTTAGAGCTAGAAGGGACCTTACAAGTCCCCGATTTTACAGGTGAGGAAACTCAGTCCCAGAGAAGGAAAGTGACGTGCCCCCCATCACACAGGTACAGTGGCAGAGACAGGATTTTAATACATTGCACTTGCCACTGTACTTTCTATGCTTCTATGAGGACACTACACGCTAAAGTTGGCTGCCCATTTGAAAGTTAACTCATTAGGGACCCTTTCTGTCCTCCCCTCCTCCCCACCCAATTTTTGTTAAAAATTATTCTTCACCCATAGTCTACATTTTTAGGCCTGACTTGAAGTCTTTCTGAGCTTAGGCTGCTAGGCCCATGATGATCAGTGGAGACACCAAGTGCAGCATTCGTAGTAGCCTTCCTCATTCAAGAGATGGGAATGTTTGATAGCAGAGCAGAGCAGAAGCAGAAGCAGATGCAGTAGTGTCTCAGGGATTGATTTCCTCTTCTGTTTCCTCTCTCTCCCCCCAGGACAGACCAACACAAAGCCGTGTTTTGTGTTGGTGATATAAAGGGCAATGTCCTCATCTTTGTCTCCGATGATATTGCGGATTCTGGATTGTTTCACCCACATATCTTCCAGAACAAAACAAAGTTTGATCTCGGGAAACCAGAACAAGGTTAGGCCTAGGTGGTGTAATTTAAGGAGCATCAGGAAGCCTCTGGCCCTTAGAATATCTCTAGTGAGATGACAATTCATGATTTGATTTTCTCTGTGTTAAACATCACCCTCTCCAATGTTCTCTATGTTTTTATTTAAAAATTGTTGTTATGGCTATCTATTGTTTTTATATCACTTTCATTTCCTACTAGATCCTTCACCTCTCCCCACCGGAGAATCATCCCTTACACCTGTAAAAAAAAAAAAAAGATGAAAAAATCAATTCAACAAAACTAAATCATCAAGAAGCCCCACATTCAACACTAACCAACATATCAACCAATGCTCCTTACTTCTACAAAGAAGGAGTGAGGGTAGAATTGGGGTGGAGGAAGTTGCATTCCTATATCTCTTCTTTGGTCATTATAATCATACAATGTTCAACTTTAAATTTTTTCTTGTTCTCTCCATTCATATTGTTGCAGTTATTATGTATATAATTTTCTTGGTTCTGCTTACTTTACTTTATATCTGTTTATATAAATCTTCCCATTGTTCCCTTCAGTCATCATTTCTTATAATGTAGTAATATTCGATTGCATTCATGTATCACAGTTTGTTTAACCTTTTTCCATTAAATGGGCTTCAGCTTTGTTTCCACTTTTTTGCAGCTACAGAGAGTTCAGTAGTCCCTTTAAATGCCTTTAGGATGCATAAGGCATTCCATCATCAATGTCTTATGGTGAATTAGGTGGATTTATCCTAGTCTTGTGCTCAGGAGACCTGGGTTCCAGCTCTGGTTCTAGCAGTAGTTAGATGTGTGACTAGGGCAATTCACCTCCCCACTATGGTCTTACTCTTTTTTGTCAAATACAGATAATCAGGGTGATAGATTTTGAGCTGGAAAGGGATCTTGTAGTATGTGTAAAGGGCTACAGAAATATGAGATATTATTATTACTATTGCAAATATCCCGCTCCACATACCTAGAAAATTTGCTCAATAGTATGTCTATAGTGCTTCACAGAAGGTCAACAAATGGATGATTGTTTTTCTGCCCATTCTGTGGTGTAGACTCTGTTTTTCTCCCTCTTCTACTCCTCTACCCTGCCCTTACCCATAAGCTTTTTAGACTTTCCTTAGGAGAGCTAACTTGCAAATTTTCATTCCTGCAATTATCCAAGAAGGATATATGGGATGTACAGGTTACTCAGCTCTTTTTTCAGGGCTGCTTTCTGCCTTTGGTGTCCAACTGCCCCCCAACTCTCATCTGTAGCTCCAAGAAGCTGGAGCATGCACAGCACTCCCACCCCAGTAAAATCATCTTGGCAGCTGGGTTAAATCAGCTATAAATGAGGGTAATTGACAGGCTTCAAACCCGTTGGTGAGTTAGGGGAGTGTTTACCCCAAGCATGTGAAGACTTCCCCAGAGGAATGGATGGATGAGAACAGTTTGTTTTAATGGGCCTTGAAGGTAATGGAAGCAGGTGCTGTGGAGCATTTAGAGTTTGGTCAGACATTGAAGACACCAAGGTCATCCATTGCATCCTGGGCCATCACCAGTCTGACTTCTGTCCTGCCAAGGGACCTCAGTGACTGGAAGAGAGAGTAAGGCCAACTTGCAACTCTGCATTACTTACATCCAATCTGTGCATGAGTCAAAAGACATCACCCCACTTTATATCTTACTATTTACTATTTTATTATTTTATTATTTCACACCTACTCAAAGTCCTGTGGTGATGGGCAAGTGACTTAGTAGCAGGTTTGGATACAGTAGAAGCTGTGGTCACAACCCTGCACATAGGCAGCCCAGGCCATAAGATTGTCTTCTCATTAGACTGAAGCATCAGTGGGATTCATCAGCCCCCTAGATATCTGAGCAGCTTTTTTTTTTTCAGGTGAAGCTAAAAAGAGAGAGTTTATTTACAAAGCATTTTTAAAGCTTAATGTTAAGGGAGGGGGGAGAAAGCCTTTCTCTATTATTTTTTTTCTTGGTTGTGACTTTCCAAGAGTCATGCAGCTAGTATGTTTTATTTTTTTATTTTTTATTAATTTATTTTTAGTTTTCAACTATCACTTCCATACACTTTTGAGTTTTAAATTTTTCTCCCCTTCCCTCCCCAAAATGGTGTGCAATCTGATATAGGCTCTACGTATTCATTCCTATTAAACATATTTTCACATTAGTCATGTTGTAAGGAAGGATTAGAACCAATAGGAGGAACCACCAGAAAGAACGAACAAAGGAAAACAGAAGAAAGAAAAGAACAAATAGTATGCTTCAATCTGCATTCAAACTCCATAGTTCTTTCTCTGGATGTGGATAGCATTTTCTATCATGAGACTTTTGAAGATGTTTTAGATCCTTGCATTGCTGAGAAGGGCTAAATCTCTCAAAGTTAGTCATCGCACAATGTGGCTGTTACTGTGTACAACGTTCTCCTGGTTCTGCTCGTTTCACTCAGCATCAGACCATACAAGTCTTTCCAGGTTTTTCTGAAGTCTGTCTGCTCATCCTTTCTTATAGCATAATAGTATTCCATCACATTCATGTACCACAACTTGTTCAGCCATTCCCCAGTTGATGGGCATCCCCTCAAATTCCAGTTCTTTGCCACCACAGAAAGAGCTGCTATAAATATTTTTATACATGTGGGTCATTTTCCCATTTTTGTGATCTCTTTGGGATACAGCCCTAGAAGTGCTATTGCTGGATCAAAGGGTATGTACATTTTTATAGCCTTTGGGCATAGTTCCAAATTGCTCTCCAAAATGGTTGTATCATTTCACAACTCCACCAACAATGCATCAGTGTTCCAATTTTCCTGCATCTTCTTCAGAATTTATCATTTTCCCATTTTGTCATGTTGTCCAATCTGATAGGTGTGATATGGTACCTCAGAGCTGTTTTGATTTGCATTTCTCTAATCAATAGTGATTTAGAGCATTTTTTCACATGACTATAGATGGCTTTAATTTCTTCATCTGAAAACTGCCTGTTCATATTCTTTGACCATTTATCAATTGGGGAATGACTTGTATTCTTATAAATTTGACTTATTTCTCTATACATTTTAGAAATGAGACCCTTATCAGAGATACTGGTTGTAAAAATTCTTTCCCAGTTTTCTGCTTCCCTCCTAATCTTGGTTGCATTGGTTTTGTTTGTGCAAAACCTTTTCAATTTGATATAATCAAAATTATCCATTTTACTTTTAATAATGTTTTCTATCTTCTGTTTGGTCATAAATTCTTCTGTTCTCCATAAATCTGACAGGTGAACTATTCCTTGCTGAGTAGCTTTTTTAAAGGACTACACTGCTCACCACCTGGCATGAGGAAGGGGCTATAAAAAGTACCCTAAAATTGTCTACTTCACCTTACGTAACTCTGGTTTGCTTACTGTCTCAGGTGGAGATCTTATCTTCTTGTCAAAACACAAAAAATGTGCAAAAACCTTTGCAAAGATGATTTCACACATAGAATGTGCACATACTTGTGGACAACACGAAGTCTAGTAGACCTGAAATACCAACAGCTCTTGTTGTGAGAGAACTCAGCAGATACTGCATCAGATAGCAGCCTTGAGTAAAATAAGGCTGGGAAATGAAAGCCAGCTTACTGAAGTCAGAGCTGGATACATGTTTTTCTGGGTTGGTCTTGGTGATGAGGAGTGCCATGAAGCTGATGTAGGTTTCGCAATCAAACCTAATCTTTTTTTTTTTGGCAATTGGGGTTAAGTGACTTGCCCAGGGTCACACAGCTAGTGTCAAGCGTTTGGTCTGAGGCCAGATTTGAACTCAGGTCCTCCTGACTTCAGGACCGGTGCTCTATTCACTGCGCCACCTAGCTGCCACCTAGCTGCCCCCAATCTAATCTAATCAAAAAGCTTGAGTGCCTTCCAAAAGGAGTGAATGACAGGCTTATGACAATGCAATTGCTACTAGCAGTATGCTGCCATCATCAATGTGTACATTCCCACCATGACGAACCCTGATGAGGTCAAAGAAAAAATTTTATGAAGACCCAGAGACCCACATCATCAATGTGCTGAAAGAGGACAAGCTTGTAATTCTGGGTGACTTTAACATCAGAGTAGTCACAGACTATCAGACATGGCAGCGAGTCCTTGGAAGAAACAGAGTTGGAAACATCAATAGCAACTGTCACTTGCTACTGAAGACTTGTGCATCTCATGACCTTCTCATCACTGACCCTGTATTCCATTTACTTAAACACAATAAAACTTCATGAATGCACCCTTGCAGCAAACACTGACATTTAATAGACTATGTCATTGTAAGGAGAGGAGACAGACAGGATATGAGAGTGATGAAGGTAATGTGTGGCACTGAATGCTGGACTGATCTTAGATTTATCCTCTCCAAGCTAAACACTCACATTTAACAAAAGTGGGTGTAAAGCTAGACAACTACCAAAAGACGTAATGTCAACAGATTAGAGCCTTTTCTGCATGATAACAGTTTGATGCTGACTTGGAGGGAAAGTTGAGCCAACAAACAATTGGCAACAGTGGAGCAGAAAAGGAGTGGACGGTTTTCAGAAATTTGGTGTACAGCACCACACTTACTCATCTGGGCCAGAACACTTACAAAAATCAGGATTGGTTTGATGAAAATGATGGGGAAATTCAGAAGCTACTAAACGATAAACAAGAACTCCACAGAATTTACTAGCAGGATAGTTTGTCCGTCTCTAAGAAGGCAGTGTTTAAATCCATCAAAAGTAAAATGCAAGCGAAGCTTAGAGAGATGGATTTTGGGTAGATGACCATCTTCCAGGTGAAAGATCAACCTATTAAGGAGAATTCTGGCAAGAATCTTTTTGGCAGTGACTAAGAAAGAGACTCCCTTCTCCCTGATTGTCATAGGACAACCTATTTCCTTTTCCTTTACTGAGATGGACAATGGAGGCATCCTTGATCTCCTAGCTGGTAACCTCCTTTTGCCATATAACCTGGAAGACTGCAGTCAGCTTATATACATGTGGAGTGGACCCCCTGCCTTGTAAATCTCTACTAGAATGGAATCAGCACTAGGTGTTTTGCCACATGAGAGGAGTTTAATGTCATTCAAAACTTCAGCTGGAAGTTTGACTAGACTGACTTCAACCTGAGGTATTTGATCAATGGCTTCAGCATTGATTGATGACAGTCTGTTGAGAACACTATGGAAGTGGTTAGCCGATCTCTCCAGGATCATGTCCTTATCACTGATCAGTGTGGCTCCCACAGCTCTGATTAGTTGAGATGCCCCTTAAGTCTTTGGCCCATAAATAGCCTTCAAGGAATCATAAAAGTGCTTTAGATTGTTACTATCAGCATAACACTGAATTTCACCTGTCTTCTTACTGAGCCCAGAATTCTGCATCTCTCTTAAGTGCTGAGGAACAGTCAGTATTGTGTTTACTGCCCGACAACTCCAGGAGAAATTCCAGGAGCAGAACAGAGGTCTGTACACAATGTTTGTTGATTTGACCGAGGCCTTTGATACTGTCAGTCATGAGGGCTTGTGGAAAATTATGTCAAAATTTGGTTGTCTGGAGATTTTCATCTGTATTGTATGTTAATTTCATGGAGGTATGCTTACCTGGGTTCTGGATAATGGATTATGCTCTTGTGCTTTCCCAGTCACCAGTGGAGTAAAGCAGGGTTGTCTGCTTGCTCTCATGCCTTTTAGCATGATGTTTTCAGCCATGTTGACAAACCTTCAACAAGGATGAAAATGGCATCAAGATCAGCTATCACACTGATGGTAAATTATTTAACTTGGAAAGACCACAAGCTAAGACCAAAGTGGAGAGAGAATTGTTCATGATTTTTTGTTTGCAGATGATTGTACCCTCAAATGCAGACTCTGAGGCTGAAATGCAACAAAGTGAAGATTGATTCTCTGCTGTTTGTGTTAATTTTGGCCTAACAACACCAAGAAAACACAGGCTCTCCACCAGCCAACACCATACTATCCATATGTGGAAACTTTGGTTACAGCAAATGGAGAAATATTGAATACTGTGTATAAATTCACTTAGCTTAGCAGTAAACTTTCCAGAGATGTACACATGATGAAGTTGACACATGCATTGCGAGAGCTTGCTCAGTGTTTGGGAGGCTTCAAAGCAAAGTATGGGAAAGAAGAGGTATTAAGTTGCCTACCAGACGAAAGGTCTACAGAGCCATCATGCTGGCCTCGTTGTTGTATGCCTGTGAAACCTGGACATACTAGCGCCATGCCAGGAAACTGAATCGCTTCCATTTGAATTGTCTTAGAAAGATTCTGGAGATCACCTGGCAAGACAAGGTACCTCTCACTGAGGTTCTTTCTCAGGCTGAATTGCCATTATTATTATGATAAGAGCTACAAGGGCTCTTAACAGACTGTCAAGTCCAACCCTCATCATTTTATAGAGGAAGAAACTGGGATGAGATGTGACTTGTCTATGTGTCTGAAGATCATGGGATTCTACTAGGAAATAGAGTTTTTCCCTACAATAGCATGAAGTAATTCAATAGAATTATTATTATTATTTAAATGTTACTGGCACAGTAGAGCACTAAATACCAGACAGTTAACAGTGGTAAGTTTTAGTCTTAATTCTGTAACTGCATGACAAATCACCCAATATGTGTCTCTCTTTCTTCATCAGAAAAATTAAAATACTATTACTAACAATGAATAATGAAATACTACTAATAATAACATTGAATTACTAATTGTCAAGATCAAATGAGGAAATAGATGTAAAGACTATTTTTTTTGGAGACCAGCGACTTTATTGAATTGAAATAGGAATATAGCAGCAATTTATATATTGGAAGGGTTAAAAAAAGTGTTATATCAAATTAATATTGTGGAAAAGGCAAGCTGCCCTCCACAGCTAGTTACAACTATGGCAATAGAATACAAATAATTACATATTCATGCACTAAATGTGATTATGGTAACACTTGGGTGCCAAAGCAGAGGCCCTCCACAACTTTACTTTTCAGAGCTTCTCTTCGGTGCCACCTAGTCTGTAAATCCTTCCTTTATTCCCTAATCTGAAGGCATTCTCTCCCACCTCTTATTTCCCTAAACTACTTTGTCCCCATCATTCCCCAAACTATATTTGTAGTCACAGCACTTAGCACAATCAGTGCCTATCATATAGTAAACACTTAATAAACATTTGTTGATTGACTTACTGACCCTCTTCATGTTTTACTTTTTTTTTCTCTCCATGGGTAGAATGGAAGTTCTTTGAGGGCAGGAGTCTATGCCATTTTTAATCTTTATATTCAGTGCCACACAGTGCCTTGCACATAGTAGGAGCTTAATAAAACAGTTTCTGAATTAATGGAAAGGGGAAGATGTGTAGAGAGAAGGTAATTCATACTGGACTTTGTTTTTTGTTTTTTGACTTATTTTTTTAGGTGGTGCTTACATCAAAATCTCTATGCAGCATCTTTTAACTAAAAAGTCTAAAGTACATAGAAGTTACCGATTGAAGGTGAGTTTTCCTTCCCATTGGTTGGATTTATATTATAGAGAAGAGTCAGAATTAACTTCTCCGAGCTTCAGTTTCTCTCTCTATAGAGTGAGGAAAACAATACCTGTCCTGTCCAGTTATGTTGTGAGGCTAAAATGAGAAAGTACTTTTCAAAGTGGGGGAATGCTTCAAAATAATAATTAACAAATACCTTTGGACAAAACATATCATACTGCTGACCACCTGTGAGGGTTATTATAGTGAGAATTTGTTTTCTGTGGGCGCTGTGCTTAGATGGTCTCTAATGACCCTGTGAATATGAGACATAGATAGGATATAAAATAGCCCTGGGGACCCAGTATGTTCTGCTGGCCATGGATCAGCATGACTTTAGTTCTGGTTTGGTTCTTCCTCTACTGTCTGCTTTCTTCCCTAGGCAATTCACACCAACTGGTGTCAGCAGATCAAGTTCATTCCCCAGCTGAATCTGGTGGCCTCTTGCTCAGCCATTGACAATACAGCCATGGTCCTGACAATTATGCCAACTAGAACTGATCATCTGAAGTAAGCTCAAACTTTCTCTCCCTTAACAGCTCAACAAGTATCTGCTAATAAGCTCCTGTTATTTCTGTAGGACACTGTTCTGGGCTCCAGGATACTAAGATGTCCTTGCCCTCAAGGAATTTATAATCTATTGGGGGTTGAATGGCATGGGATAGGACATATAACAAAAGTAAGTTTGATATAAGGTAGGAAGTGAAAGGTATAAAGGAAAGAACTGGACAAAGTCCTCCAGGAAAATTTGAGAGAGATTATTTTCACCCGGGAGGACAAGGGAAGACTTTGTGGAAGAGATGTCACCTGAGCTAGGTCTCAGAAGGAAAGGATTCCCATGGGAGAAATAAGGAGGGAACTTTGGGAATGGCTTCCATGAATATGCAGAGATGGGGGAGAAAAGAGTGAGGTCAATGAGCAGGTAGTAGTCCAGTTTTGCTGTTTATATGATGCAAGGCTGGAAAGGTTAGATTATTTGTGATTTCTGTGTCTATTTTGAGTTATGTCCAATTCTTCATGACCCCTTTTGGGGTTTTCTTGGCAAAGATACTAGAGTGGTTTGACATTTCCTTCTCCAGTTCATTTTACAAATGAGGAAATGGAGTTAAAGTGTTAAGTGAGTTGCCTGGGGTCACCCAGCTAGTAAATGTCTGAGGCCAGATTTGAAATCAGGAAGATGAGTTTTTCAGATTTCAAGCCTAGTAGTCTATCCACTGCACCACCTAGCTGCCCCAAGGTCAGATTATGGAAGAATTTAAATGCCAGCAGGCTAAGGAAGCCACATTTGTCTCTGCTTCTCTCTAGAGCAGGGATTCTTAACCTTTTTTGGGTCATGGACCTCTGCCCAGAAGGATGTTTTTAAATAAATGTAAGTAAAAGATATAGAATTGCAGAGGGAACCACTTATAGTGAAATACAGTGATCAAAATATTAAATATTAATTAATTAAATTTAATATTAAATTAATATTTTAATATTAAAATATTAAAAAGGCAAGTTTATCGACCACAGGTTAAGAAACCTTCCTCTGGGCCCCTGCCTCAGTGGCAAACTTGAGAGTTTGTGGTCTTCCTTCTGTTCTCCCTTCTTTATTGTCTTGTGAATCTTGGGGGGTGATGTTATGGAAGCGGTTGTTGTGGAAGGGGAGAGATGGTGTTGGTATGTGGGAGGGGTTCTCTCCTAGGGCTTACACCCCATAGTAGGAACAGAGAATGTATGCCCACCCAATCCAAAGGACTGTGTCTACTGACTTGCCAATAATTCCAAAGGACTGGGCACAGGTAACCTGTAGACAAAGCCAGGAGAGGAGGAACTGGGGATGGTCAACTGGTTGAGGCGATTCAAAGGGGGTAATTTGTAGGATTGGTTCTTCTATTTGTTTTTATAAGTAGCACCTCCTTGAGTAAGGAAGTTGCCCTCCTTACCATCCCAGAATTAGGGAAACCAGGACAGGATCCTCTGAAATCCTTTGGGTTTGGGATCTTTCATCAAAGGTACAACCTATTAATGACCGTCAGCTATTGGCCAGTCAGCAAGTTTGCATTAATGAACAGTAACTCACATGTGTAGGAGTTGTTGAAAAATCACCTCATCTCTGTTGACTCGTTTGAACTTCACAATGCCCCTGTGAGGTAGGCTCTATTATCCCCATTTTGCATACAGATGAAGACACAGATTCAGAGAGACCAATCAACTTTCCCAAGATCACATGGCTGGTTAGGGGTTGAACTGGGATAGGAACTCAGGTCCACTGTTCTTTCTACTACACTAGGCTACTCCTATAAAAAATGGACAATAACCCTTGTACTATCTGTATCATGGGATTGTTGTGAAAACCTTATTCAACCATAAAGCATCATCCAAAATGAGCTATTACCATTTAAAAAATATTTTTAGTTTATTGATTGTGATTTTTATCCATTTGATAGTCATTATTATATTCAATGGCTTTAACATCTCAGGAGCTCTCTTCCTATTTCAAGACTTATAGAAATATTGATACACATGTGACCTCAAAGTTGAAATGAATTTAAAGGAAAAATTGGTGACTTTTTAAAAATCAGTAACATAATTAGTTATGGGTGCATTATAGAATATGAACCAGTAGGTGGTAGTGTTAAGCTTTAAATGGCCTGCAGTGATCTATGCCAAGATTGATAAAAAGTGATGGAATGCCATAGCCACATGCAGTGGGGCTGACTCAAAAACCCTGGATTTGCCCTCTCTCCCTGCTGGCAGTTTGCTTTCCAAAGGGCATAGAGAGAGATAGGGCTGGAGATGTTAGATCAACAAATATTTAGTAAAATTAGTAATTTAAATTTAGTAAAATTAGTAATTTAATAAAATTAATAAACATTTGATTTCACTGGTAGAGAGAGCTCCCAATAAAGAAACTTCTTCAATTCAGTTGAGCTTTTGCCCTGGAGATGATAGACTCTTAGTCTTCCCGAGTTGCTTGGGGGCATGTAGCAGAGGTGGGACCCAGGTCCTTTAGACTCTGAGGTCAGCTCTCTTTACCTGCTATGTACCACTGCTTCTCAAGTATTATTTCCATTTTACAAAAAGGCACTTCAGAAAGAGGAAGTGACAATGTAGCTGAGATTTAAATCCAGGCCTTCGAATTCCAAAGCTTTATGCTCTTTCTATTATAGCGTAAAGCTTTTCTGTCACATGCTTAGTAAGTGTGGTCCCTTCTTTTGCTAAGGGGGATGCCATGGTTTCTGCCCTTAGTGACCTTAATTTAGTAGGGAACAATAAGACACAAGCATAGCTATAATATGAATTAGGATGTCATAAGAATAGATAAGAGAGCTACAAAATTCAGATGAGGGAGATCTTTTCTGGTTGGGAGTCATTATGGGAACATAGACCCGGAGTTATAAGGGACCTTAAACATCATTTAGTTCAACCCCCTTATTTTATCAATGAGGAAACTGAGACCCAGGGAGGTTAAGTGACAGGCTCCATTCAATAATAAATAAATAAGTAATGACAAGTTAATTGAATATTAATTTATTTAATTCAATGAAAATTAATTTAATTTAATAATAAATAATAAACACTCTTAAATACCTACTGTATACAAAGCTGGGGGTGCAAAGATAGTTCTGATGACACAGACCCTGCTCTCAAGAAGCTTATAGTCTCATGGGGGAAGGATAAGTACATAGGCAATATGATGGAAGGGGAATGGGACACGTGTAAAGGGAGAGGCCCTGACAGAGTGTTACAAGAAATGTGAGCAGGAAGAGATATGCCATACTCTTCCCAACTTGGGTTAAGGCACAGGTCAAGGAAGGCTTCATGGATTAGGTGGTATCATCTGAGCTGGACCTTGGAGAAAGAGAGGGACTTCAAGAGAAGAAGACTGATGGTGGTGGTAGTACCTGGGCAGGTGGTTATACATTTCAGTGATAGGGGAAGCAATGTGACTGATGACATCACTGAGGGAAAGAATGTTGAAGAGGAGAGCTTGAGCACCTAACAAAGACACTGAGCCTGGGCAACCCATGAGGCAGGATGGCTGCAGTATCTGAGGGAACAAGGGAGAGAAGTTTCACAAAAAAGGATTTGTTTTCAGTGGGAAAGGCTACACAGGTCAAGGGTAAAGACTGAGGGAAGTCCTCTCAATCCTTGGCAGTGAAGGGAATTATCAGTGGCCTTGGGGAATGTAGTTTCAGATGAGTAGAAGTCACTGAAACTCTCCTAGAGGGGTTAAGGAAAGAGTGGGTGATGGCAGAGGTGGAAGCCACAGCAATAATAATCCATCTTTGGAGTCTGACAGTGGAAATGAGAGGAAAAATAGGATAGAAGCTAGGCTATAGTAAGGTCAAGGGAATGTTTGTGGGACTTTAGAAAGGAGCCAAGAACCTGTTCATATTTGTTAACAGAACCAATGAGGGGTGAGAAAGTATGACTATATAGATGACAGAGGAGATAATTTTTTAAAAAAAGTCTTTATTATTGTTTACTTGAAAAATATTACAAACATGCGTCTTCCTATCTCACCAAAGTTAGAAATGTAGCCCCTCATGGTCTGATCACACTGTAGATTGTAACAGTAACATTTCCCCAATCTGGGCCAGTTTACTTCTCTTTAGTCAGCTTTGTTCCACCTCCCAAAACTGATGTCAGACTTAATGTGGACATCTGATTGGCTTAACTCTGAGTTAGTGATCCACCAGCCTTAGCCTCCCAGTGCAGGCATGTGGGAGAAAACCTCCAGGTAAACTTTTTCTAAAGTGTGTGTGTGTGTGTGTGTGTGTGTGTGTGTGTGTGTGTGTGTGTGTGTGTGTGTGTGT